GTAGAGCTTCGTGACGACCCACGGTTAAATCATGTCCCTATAATCGTCATCGTCATTATTCGCTACAGCCTCTTCTACAATACTCATGGGTTACCTGTACAACACTCCGGAAGTGATAGTCAGTGATTTCATCATTATCTCATCGGCGTTTGCTTACGCGTCGGTTTCATCACACAGAATGGAAATATTCGCGGGCGACCTCAAGTTACCAAAAACCATTTATCCATCACACCCAACCACATCGTTGCATACATATTTCATGTTGACTATTCGAGATGGCGGCTGAACGGATTGGATCACCAGACCAATTAGGTTGGCTAACCTACTGGAATTAATATTCATGCAGGGGATACCAGACGCATAAATTAACGTAGGTAACCCATGCCAATGAAGATAAGATTTTACGACCTGCTAAAAACATCCAACTAAAGACCAAAATTGATTCCGCTATCCAATCCGCTCTCCAATATATTGACTGGAAGCATTTCCGAAGGTTAATCTGATCTTCCAGCAAGGGTGTTGTCTTGTTTTCCATCGTCCACATTGCAGTGTAAAATTTTTAGCACACGATCCATCGCACCAAGGTAGTACTTGCCGCATAATTTTACTAATGTGCCGTTACTGGTCTTATGAATGCAAATGAGACTTGTCTTAATCTGAGAACAAACCGAGTACGAAATTTAGAAACACCGGAAACATTAATACAGAAACCATAAGAGCCCGTCGCCTGTATAAATTGTTTGTAATTAAACAGCTTAAAATGGAGGTCGAGGATGCCGTTGTAATGTTAAGCAAAGGAGAGGAATTAATGAAAGTACTCCATAGTAGAATAACAATCGGACCTCTTCTATCACGACGTTGATAAATGAAGTTTGTCAACTGGACGAACCATCGGCTACTTTTGAAGTTTGTACTTTACTTTTCCTTGCTTCCATGAACCTGGAAACGAACTTTTTACTTTCTTTTCCGGCACTTACAGTTTTCATCATATAAGGAATATCGAGATGACTTTTCGTACAGACAAAGTATATGAATTACTCGCATTCATCGCCCAAGATAGACCTCCATAGCATTGCCTGTCTGCTATGGAATTTGGCGGCACTTATATACGGCTGTTATTGCTTGACACCTCCTCGTCGAGAGAATCTAGTCATTTTCCAGATTAATGGATGGCATCATTTATTACTACACGTCCTGAAAGGGAAGCAAACAGAATGTCGCGCATGATCTTCATAATTGCAAGACTGCTCAAAAAATTTAGTAAAATCAGAATATTGAGCGTTATCTATCGCAGTGGACTGTCTAACAAAGATTCTCATAGGTTCAATGATAAAAGGTTCTATACAAGTTGCAAATTGAACTACCTTGATCGCATCACCGAGTCCATTGACGCTGGTTAGGTGATTATGTATATGCTCCTGGATATGCAAAAGACACTAGACTGACTGCGATAAGGCTGTTAGGAAGAAACGTAAGTCCTTTTAGCGTAAACACCCAAAACTGGGTTGGCTGCCCTCGTTGTTGAAGGGGCTTTAATAGATTGTCACCTTGATTTATTAATACTCTTCCCATGTTCACTCATTAGCGGTGCATAAAAGAAAGCGCGCTTCGCATTTCTGTTTTTCTGCTTTATATTACCATATCGCGATATTCATCAAACCGATGAATTTTGTTTCCAAGCAGATGTTCAGATTGTTCGTATTTTAATTCAAAGGAAAACTTGAACACGAGGTTACTTATTCAAAAAAACATCGTTTCAGTCAAGAAATGGCAGACATGGCTCTAAGTAATTGGCTAAAGTGTCACGTCCTAAGGATATATTAGATCCCTGAAGAGTACATTAAAATGAATGATGAACATATCTGTGCAAAGTTATCTAAGAGTGAAAAGGAATGTTATACTCTTGAAGCTGCAACTTCTCGGAGCTGGTCAGATATCAAGTCGTACTCATCAAACGATATCAGGTATAATGTACTATGAAATACAAAAATTCTAATCAGAAATCAAACGGTTAGCAATCTCCACTCCTACATTTCTGAATAATGCAGCATCATTTATGAAAACATGCAGGTGAGTAGCAGAAAGCTTTGGAAATCTTGCAAACTTTATTTAATAAGCGATCGGTCGTTAAAACATATACTCTAATCCTTCAGGAGCAATGGCAGCAGTTTCATCTCGAGCTTTTTGGTTGCAATGATGGCAGTAAAATTGATGCTAGTCCTAATCTTATAATCTAAATAACAAACCACTCTGGGCACAATCGAATAGCAACATAATTTGTAAACTAAATTTACCAAGAACCAGGACGGGTATTTGATCCAATTTCTCCCCCCTCAGCTACGCTACACTGTGCATAGCCTATTAGACACTATCATGTAGTAGTTAAACCCAAGCGCATTCCGAATTAAACTTGGAAAGTTGATGGATCAGAACTGGATAATGATCATTTTTTTCCGTCGGAATAATTATCAAATGGTTTCTTCCAAGTTGGAACAAGTAATCTATAACCAGTGAGAAAAGCTGTCACACCGAAGCTACTACAAACTAAAATTATGTATCTCAGAGTTCCTTAACAAAATTGACGCCAATACGTACATGCGTAACTGCTGCATGAGAATGAAAATATCTGTACCAATGACTTCTATTAATTATTCAATCAGCTACTCGTAAAATTGAAAAACATACGCATTATTTTTACATTTCGATGTAGTGAGAACAGGTGAATAATCAAATTCCTAATGGGCATGACAATTTACATGCAATGTCACATCGATCCAGCAGCTTTGCACGTCAGAGAAACGAACAGACAATCCACCACTAACGAGCAGCTGCTTTGCCTTCACAAACGCTTGCGAAGGCTGGTTTTTAACCGAGTTTGCACTAGCGTTCGACGATCGACTATTCTTTGGCTTGAAAGATGACAGAACAACCTGGACGACGAATGCCGTGCTTGTTGATTACAGATGCACACCATCGGAAGCGTAGAAATCATATGGTAGTTGACCAACAAAAAACAATATTTTTAACCAAGCTAAGAACACACTTGAGTGAAGAAATGGAAAAGGCGATAGCCGTCAAAACATACAAGACAAAATTCAACCTTAAACGTAAGTTTGAAGAGAAGCTGAATTTAATTTCACTACAGAAGCCAAATCGCGAAAATGATGTGTGGAGTACGAAACTATCCAAGAGAATTTTATCGAACGCCGAATAAGCGGACATTGTCTGAGGCATGCAGCTCAATGACAAGGGCTGCAATTACATCGATTTCCTCGCTCCACTGGAATTAACACTAAACTTATACAACATCGCACCTGAAGCACACCGTGGATCAGACACACGATCATCCCAGCTCTCATACCTAAAGTTAAAACCAACATATTCAGCGCCACGGAACAAAAAGCTCTGACGAATCTCAAAAAGGGCAAGAGCAAATTATAATGCCGAAAGAAAAACGATGCCTAACAGTTCTAACGGACGAAACCGATTACATTATGAAAGCATAACATCTGCTAAGCGATACCAACACATACCAACCGATGAAAGAAGATCCGACAAACACCTTAGAATGCAGCAGAAAGCGCACTCTGCTAAAGCAATGACAAATAGGGAGAATCAAAAATTTGGCACAAAATAAAGAAACCGAAAGATTCGACACTACCTCGAGTGGCAAAGTAGTTGACAATATCCACAGTGCAAAGTGGCCCATCAACGGACAGTATGTTCCTAGGCTGGTGAGAAAGTTTGAGAAAACTGGGAGCGTGTACGTCGCCAAAAGATGTGGCGGCCTCACATCACCACGGATAACTTTTTTGCTTGTGTGGTTATTTGTGTGGTGTCCAGAAGCTGCGATCTAAGCATTGGTAAACTCGCCCAGTATTGCAACACCACCAGATATGCTGTCCATAGGGCTTTGAAGTAAAGATAATTCCGGAAGTATAGCGCCCGTGAAGTGCAGGTTTTAAACCCATGTGATTCGGAGAAGAGACTTCATTTTTGCCGTAGGTTTTTAGTGTCATGGACATCCATTCAATTCTGTTTACCGATGAGGCTGCTTCCCTTTTGCACGTTGCGGAGAAACAACGGTTTTGGGCAAGGTGTAATCTATGTCGATGCAGCATTTCACACATAAAACATGGCGCAAACCTCATCGTATGGGCTGAGTTACCTGGCCAAAGAATAAATAAATAAATAAATAAATGATATATTTCTCGACATGCGAGACACAGGCAGACTACGAGCCTGATCATGTGGCACAACAAAGTCGGGTAATGCACAAATAAAAGTGGGTGGACGTACAGTAACGTGAAATGCTAGATTTTTGTCCGACGTTGTTCGATTCAGATTGTACAAGTTTCACTGGTAACTGACAACCTCAGGAATATACATGTTTTTTACAGAAAAGGAGAAGAATTTTAGGAGGAAATAGTAAGATAGCTCCAGCAGTTGTCGGAGATCAAAATGGGAAAATTGGTGATGCGAAATAATTTTGTATGGTACTGGGAAATGTTGTATGTACGCATGGTATTTTTCAGGGAGGGAGAGAAGACTGTACGCAAAGTAAAGTAAGTTAACCGTCGTTCCAACTGTTCAGCTGTGTGCGGTAAGAGGAGAAGCTGATTTCGATGAAGGGATTTGTTCAGAGTGAACGTAAGCGTGGAAGATCATGGTAGGTTTTCGGAAGGTGTTATCAAATGGATTCAGTCCAGAAGCAGAAGGATTAAATCAACATTGATTTCGCTGAGCACGTAACACAGCAGCTCGTACCTAGGGGAGGGGTCCAGGGGAAAAGATAAGTAGAAGATAATTAGCATTGCAGAACAAACGCAAAATAATTTGCTCGAGAGGAACTCTAGGGCACATTTCCGTCTTGGTGAGTGTGAACTTCATTGTTAATCAGGATATTTTGCCTTTAGAAAACACGTTATTGCTACTGATAAATTTGGGGAGGGCAGTAAGATCGGGCAACAGGAGAATAAAAAGATCCCCTGATATTGATACTATATCCATCTTGCTCCTATTTCGTATGGGGATTCACTTGTCAAGGTAGGTTGCAATATACCGATCGCTGTTTCGACGTTTAGAAAGGAATGTATAACGTGTCGGAACTTCATCCCTGACTGGATTGCACGTATCTCAGATGGAAGCCTGTTCCACAATATGGAGTATCGATTTAGGAAAAAGTTGTCAGACAGTTTCGTTCGTGATCTTTTCACTTTTACTTTATTGTGATTGTTATTTCGGGTGCGATAATTTGATAATTCTGCTCGTTGTACCGATGGGCGTGAAGAATGTATTTTTTGGGTAATTGTGTCAAAGAAGATGAAAAGGTTAAGTTTCATTCTTCGCAGCCACAGTGGATCAAGTTTTAAGGCAACGCAACGATCCATGTAAGATAGGGTGGTGGAATAGCCTAGAAGACGCTTAGTAAATGATCGTTGAACACGTTCCAATGCCATACGATCACTCACTCTAGAATTACAGTAGGTGATGGAGCCATATTCAAGCAGCGGGCGCGTTTTTATTCTATACATGGTGTTAATGGATTCTTTTAAGTTAAATGTTTTGAACAAAAGCCCAATGCTTCGGCGGGCTTGAGCTGCGGTGTGTCCTGCGTGTTCGGAAAAGTTAAGGGTGCTCGAGTAGTGGATCCCTAGGTCACGGATGGTGTGGCAGTGGGACAATGGTTTACCATCTATAGTTAGCGAACCTGGTGTGATGTCACATCTGTAGGATACCACGTGGCATTTATCAGTAGAGAATGTCATCATCCATTTGGAACTCCATGAGTCTAGTGTATGTAAGTCACGCTGGATTTCGCTAAGCGTATCACTGACCTCAGTTGGATTAAAAGTGTAAACAATTTTGATGTCATCGGCAAACAGGAAAGGTTTGCCGGAAGCAAAGACATCAAAAATATCATTTACGTAAAGTAGGAATAAAAAGGGTCCCAGAACACTACCTTGTAGCACACCACTGGTGACAGGCTTTGGCGTGCTTGTTTCGTGCTCGATCTGAACAACCTGGGTTCTATTAGTTAGGTAAGAATCAAACCATGAAAGCAGAGGGTTGTCTATGCCATATGCAGTTAGTTTGGATAAGAGGTGGTTATGAGGGACACGATCAAATGCTTTGTGCATATCTAGGTAGATGACTATCGCTGATGAACCGTCATCGAGCGAAGTAGTCAGGAGACTGAGAAAGTCTATCTGACATGTTATGCAGGATCGCGTGCTTAGGAAGCCGTGTTGTGAGGTGTTGATAAGATTTCGCGACATCATAAAGTCCACAGTTTTGGACTTTATGTGACGTTCTATCATTTTTGAGAGGATAGAAGTATGGCTTATTGGGCGGTAGTTGCTCATTTCATGCACAGAGCCTGACTTGTAGCGAGGAATGACTACAGCCGTCTTCCACTGTGATGGCACGGTACCGGTGTTCATGGATAGAGAAAAAGGATTCAAAAGTAATACAGGGAAGTCAGATCCACCGTATTTTATAAGTGTTGGTGGTAATTTATCAGGTCCGGCATACCATGATGACTTCGTAGAGGTGATAAGCCGATTTATATCACGAAGTTCAAAATCAACTGTGCAGATCTTGTCATCAGTAAGCAGAGGGATAATGTGCGAGGGAGCCGCAGCAGCGGTGTTAAAAGTAGAACAAAAGTAATTATTAAAATCCCTGCTTATTTTAGCTGGATTGTTAGTTATTTGGTTACCAGAAATCAGGATGGATGGGGTTTCTGTATTCTTGTTTCTATATTTCATCAGCTTGGTGAGTTCTAGGTTTTTATTCATGCTATTTAGCGCCCGTCTTTCTACGTCCATAAGGCTGATATGCCGAAGTCTGTCAAGTTGAGCAAGGATCTTTTGTTGCAGCAATACTAGGGAGAAGTCATTTGTTTTCAAGTAGTAATTTCGGAGTCGTGCAAGTTTGCGTGAAAAATTTTCGGGGATGGACTCTAATTTTATTTTTTTGGAATGACGGCAATAATTCAGTGGTATTAGAGCATCTAGACACATCTCAATGTTCTTGTAGAACTCATCGGCTGCCACTTGTGGATCATTGGTTAGGAAGAAATTTTCCCAGTGCAAGGATCTCAGAAGGGCGGAAAGCGATTCCATGTGTAACAAATTGTATGGTCGGTAGAGGACGGCAGGTTTAGTCTGGGTAGGATCAGAAAATGGCTTATCGAAGGTGAGTTGGACCATCTTGTGATCGCTTCCAGGGAAATTGTCTAGAACAACAGCAGAAACGTTGGATAGGCCTAGTGTAAGGAATAAATCGAGAGTGTGGTTTCCCCTGGTGGGTGAATGGACATGTTGTGTCCATCCATATATATGTAAAGAAGACATCAGTCTCGAATATTTAGTAGGTGCGGCGCACGATCTCCAGTCAATATCAGGCATATTGAAATCTCCTCCTAATACTTTACATTTAACTGGTAATTCTGCTAAGTAGCAAAACAAGCGTTCCAATGTTCGTAAGTCATCCGTACTGGGATTCGGAGGGGAGTAAATGCAACCCAAAACCATCGAGGTTCTACCTAGAGTAACATGTGCAATTATGCTGTCAATATCGCTGTCTTGAAGGGAAGCGCACAGCAGTGATGCTTGGAAGTTATTTGATATGTAAATGATGCAACCGCCACCAGGTGCTGAAGTTCGACACGCGAGAAAACTATGATATTGATCAATGTGATAGCAAGACTGCGGAGTTTCGCTTGTGAACCATGTCTCTGTAGCTAGGATAAAGTCAGGTTGAAAGAGAGACACCATGGAGCGAAGAGTGGGCATCTTATTTCGAAGTGAGCGAGCATTGAAGAGAAGCGATTTGGTGGATTGTGACTGGATATGTAAACACGCTAACTGGTTGAATAAGTTGGGGTAAATATCTGACGATGTGTCATCATAAGTTGAAGTGGAAGGAGTGGGGTAATTTTGAGCTGGAATGGAAATGGATGATGATAGGGCAGGAATAACTACCAAATTTAAGTCTGAATACTTTTGAGAAAGTTCAGAAAAAGGTTGAAGGCTTGTTGGGGAGGGATGACACTGAGTTTCCTCCCCAGGTCTACAAAAAAAGACTGATCATTCAGTCTATCAGGGATATAAGTAGGATTGCCATTGGGGGAAGGGTCAATAGGTAAACATGGTGCACCAAGAATGGATGCAGCAGACGTTTTCGGGTGGACAGAAAAATAGGGTCGAGCATGCAACCTACTGAAGTAAATGTTTGATAAGTAAGGAACTGTTCGAATAGCACTTAGCTTACTAACAAGCGATTCCAACGTGGGCTGGTCGACAGAGGTAAATCTGACTGGTGCTGGGTAGGCCTGTATCCTCTTGGGCACTCTAATAGCATTAAACATGTGAGATTTCACATTAGCCACTTTACCTAAAGTTGTAACGACCTCAATGAGATCAGTAGAGTCAGGAATATTGAAAGCAAGGAGACTGTAAGCTAATGATTTCTTTGGCCTTATGGGGCAGGCGGCAATTTTATTGGGCGATGGGGTTTTAACTGGTTTAACCACGAGAACTGCAGATGTGGCTGTAAGTTTGTGGGAAATAGGGTGATCCTGAGTATCAGCCGAGTCAAGATTTTGGGTGGTAGGATCAGAAGAACCCTCGTTCAGTGAAGATGGATTGCTAGATATCGGATTTTTATCTCCAGCTAGTGGCTCGTTTGTTTGCTGCGTATCAATTGCTCTAGGTCTTTCGTCGCCAAGGAAAGCAGTCAGGTCTCTGGTCACAATGCTGGTCAAGTCTAAATCGACAAGGGAGTTAGTGATCTGTGGCTGCTGTACATAACCGTCCCCTGTATGCGATATCGCAGGTTGATAGCGACGGTGGTGCTTTGTTTTAAAAATCATAGGCTCTAAATTATCCGCTGCACGTAGCGTTGTTAGTGGAGAGTCGAGGGGGCATATTATACTTATGGACTGGTTATGGGTGTCATTGTGTGTAGGTAACCTTAATGTTGGGGTGTCAGTTTGGCACTTGGGAACGAGACTAGCAACAGTTGTAGATGTGACCCCATTTGAGGGTAACGAGTCGCGTCGAGAGATAAGGTCAGAATCTCCAAGCAGGAGTAATCTTTGTAAAGGTGTTCTGTCAGCGATTACTCTCAGGGTCTTAAAGGTAGTGTTGGCAGCAATTAGATCACGTCTGCTTATAAACTCGCTAGCGGTTAAAGCACTATTAAATTTGAATAGGATTGGACACGAGTAGCGCTGGACTTTCTTTCTGAGTCTTATGCAACTGCATTCCGTGCCAACCATGTTAGCAGCTTTAAGTGATATATCTCGCAAGGCTGCAGGCGGTATATTATCCGGGACATTAAAAACAACTGCATTTCTAGAACGATGCATCCTAGAGACTACTTCTGCTGCGATGGAATCGATAAGAGAACCTGCGGGTAACATATGCTCTACTTTGGAACTCAACGTCTTTTGCATTAGGGCAGTTATAGGTTCCAGTTCACGGAGGACAGTCAGAGAACTATTTATCGACAACATTTTCACTTTAAGCTGGGTGACTTCATCTTGGATGTTTTGCAAGTTAATAGACTGAAACGGCAGAGCAGCTGGGCATAATTTTCCTTCTGCTGAATTATAAGGTCTCGCAGTTTTAGAAGTTGTCGGTGCTTTGCGAGTTTTAACAGTCACTTTACGCTTTGGTAATCGACACTTGATGGCAGGTATACTAACAGAACATGAGGCATTAATTTCATCATTGCTTACAGATTGGTTATAAGCTGGGAGATTTGCGAGCTTATTAATGCATTTCTCTCCATTCATTGTACTAATGGTGGAGCTTCTCGTTTTAACGTTGCTAACGAGCATCTTGTGATTAGCCGCTGGAGTTCAGGGCTTGTGATCTCAGTTAAGGTAAGCCGGTTATTAGAATGGACTAAAATGGTTACTGTGTCACAAGGTCGATACAAACCAACCAGGTCGGTAATCACAAAATGTTCCAAGGCGTTCTTTGTTAGTCAGTCGTCCTGTGCACACGTCCACTCTGTGCGACCATTTTGCTTTTTCGGTAATGTAAACGGTAGGTTGTTGTTTCACAGTACTAATACATTGCGCTTTCTAACATCCTCGTCCAAGGAGTTACTAGAAAATTGTGCGATTCCGGAAGTGGAAACCGTTGGGTTATTAAGTACTGTGTGAATGCAACAAGATGGCGTACCTGGGCACCATGCACAAACGGTGCGGGATTTTCTCAAGCAGACGTTCTCTTGCCGTTGGGTCGGGCGGGGAAAACCTATAGAGTGGCCTGCTCCGTCAACATATTTGAACCCTTTGGATTGCTTCCTCTGGGGTTACTTGAAACAGCATGTATACAAAACGAAGCCAAAATCTCTTGAGGAATTGAAGCGGAGCATTTTACAAGAATGTCGCGGGATCACAGTTGGTACTCTGGAGAAAGTGCCAGCAAACACCATCAGGCGAATGCTGCGCTGTACGCAAAACGCCGGCGGGCACTCCGAACATCAACTTGGCTGACAATTCTGAGCATTACACTGATAATCTGTAAATATATGTATCATGCAAACATTTATCGACTGAATTTGTGCGCTGGCTAATGCTCTCTTCTTCTTAGGAACGTCAGTTTATGGTTTCTCCTGGCGTTGTGCGTGCGCGCGTCGTGTTATAAATTGCTCGGGATATTCGTTCTCCCGTAGGTCACCCCGAACTTGAAAGTTGTCCCTACGGTTCAGTTTATCTATTCCATCAAATCCATGTGGTAGAATAGCAGTCGGGACTCAGTTTGCACATTTGAACGAACATCTTCCCAGTTGAACACAGATCAATGAGGAGACAAGCGGTTGCTTTACAACTACGAGGGTAGAACTTACCAAACAGTCATGCGCCAGTGACACCGAGAAGTGACGTACCATGACGAAGGATCATTGCGAGTCGTTAAGGTAACAGCTACGCAATGAAAAGGTTGTAATACTAAGACAAGATATGGGATTAGGTGTCGTCATAATGCAGAAACATGGCTACATCCAGAAATGCAATAATTTCTCGCAGACCAGTCGATTCGTTATTATGTGACAGATAACGATAAAACCGAACATGTTATGAAATCAAACGTTCGTGAACTAAAGACCCTAACGACGGTGGGATGGAATCACACAAAAACTTTGACACAGCCGGTCACTCGAGCATCTCGGCTTCCTTATTTGTAAGGACTGCCGAAAATCCACAACGAAGATATCCCCTTACCACCGACTGTTTCAATGGTAGGCGCACCGTCTCAGAAGTTGCCAAATGCCTGACCAATGGAATCCAAACTATCCTAAGGGAACTAGCAGACTACAGCGTTAAAGACAGTTTTGTGGATAGAATACATCCCTAACATGGTTGCAAAGGGTCCTACGCTACCTACCAGTTCCGTTGTGCCCCCCCCCCCACATACTCGATTGCTCCGCGTGCCAAAACCTTATTGGATCGATCAGCGTAATAAGCTAACGAAGAGACTCCACGCCGTTTCCCACCTATGTTCTTGAATGGTTACATTAAATTCATTTGATCACGAAGCGTTGGCGTAGACATCAGCCGTGATTGCGCACATTGTTCTAGCGCAGGTAGCTAATCATAGCTATCTCTTACGCAGTGTGTTCATTCATAAGCTGGAAAACAGGTCCCATACCTTACTTCGGCTTAATGTATATATGGTTGCGTATCGAAAATGTTGCTCCTGTGATAAGATGCCCTAAGTTTCTTCAGTTTGCCTTTGGCCTTTTTCATTTGGGTATATTTGTCGCATTATCTATACGTGCGGCTCCTTACCACAGGTGCCAGTACATTAGTACATGCAGCAATGTTGCTGGGTCAAGCGCTTACATGTCCTGCGGTCAGTATACACCTTGTAAAAGGAGACAGTGTCTTTCGCCCATGGGTGTGCAACATCGCCCCTTAGTGGCTCCAGCATTTGTAACCTTGTCAGGTTTCTGTGTTCCTCAATTGTTCCCCACCTGTATTTCCCACTGACAATGGATGCTAACCACCAAGCGTTTGAAAGCAGCGTTTCCACTGCATCTCTTGACTACCTCAAGTTTCCATTCTTGACTTGTACCACTTTATCGCACCCCGTACTGATATGGGTTC